AACATCTGAAATATATCAGTCTGTGTGTAATGAATGAATATAATATACAAGTTTCACTTTTTGAATGGAATTACTGAAATAAATCAACTTTTTCAAGATGTTCTAATTTTATGACCAGAACCTGTATAAATAAAAGTTGAATGGATAACGGCGATCCTTGCGACCCGGAAGTATTCCTTTTAGCGCATGTGCAAATGAGCCATATTTCAGGAAGCAGATCATGCGGGGACGACCGAACGAGTTGCTTGCTCGAGGTGCGGCTCGCGAACACTTGAGTCGAGCGGAGAAGTGGGTGAGAACGTTTGGAAGAAAGTGGCAGATTTTTCATTTTGAAGAAAAGAGTGTCGGACAAAAAGAAACAAGAGGTTTGGCATAAACTGGTTTGTGACTGGATGGCAGCTCTTGTAGAGGAAGATGATGATAAGGACTTGAATGATTGGAGTCAAGTTGTTAAGTGGAAGAAGAAGAACCGCATGAGAAAATGAAAGTTTGGTAGGGACACAGGTTAGTAAAAGGACTTTGGACGAAAATGGTTCAGATGAAGGGACACCTGTGGTCCGCAAGAAGATTGTTAAAGAGGAAATTAAAGTTATTCTGAAATTTAAAGAAGACAACAACATACAGCGTGGTCCAATTGCATTAGACCTCAACTACTGCCCCAAATCACAAATGAGTTTGAAAAGGAGGTGCCATGGATGCATTACAGTATACCAGGAGGCTATGCTCGAGTGCCTGATTGCCGAGATCTTGGAGGTAGCGGAAAACACGGCTTGTGACAGTGGGAGGACCGAGATCGTCCCCTGGCACCTGCAGTTAAGTCCACAGCGACGAGGAGCTCGGCAGGCTGCTGCAAGAAATGGCCATTGCTCAAGGAGGAGTTCTGCCGGCATTCAGGCAGTCCTGCTGCCCAGTAAGACGAGAGGTCTACTGGGTCTGGCATCTGCAGCCAGTTTCTTGGGATCTGCTGTGGGACGGACTGCTACAAGAAATCCTTCTTGCCCAAAGCCATCAGCATCTAGAACAACTCTAATGAAACCAAGAAGAGCTACAACAACAATTAATTTCCCTTTGGGATTAATAAAGTATTTTTGAATTCAATTGAATTTGAATTTGTATTATCAAAAGAACTCAAAAAGAAGATTGGAGATATTTCTTTTGCAAAAACGCTTAGAGATGGGAGTGTACCGATCATTTGTAAAAGTGAAGAACAGAAAAATAATGCACTGAATATTGAAAGTATTTGTAGAAAAACTGTGTGAGAGAAAAGGATTTTAGGAGAGAAGAAAGTAACGAGGGGCGTGATAACAGGAATACCATGAAGATCTAGAAAAGCTTCAAAAGAGCATTCAGGGTGAATCAGATCAAAAGATTATTGAGAACAATAAATGGAGAAAGAACTGAAAGCCTGTCGATAATGATTGAATTTCACAATAATGTGCTTCCAGAGAAGGTTAAGATCGGGTTCATGAGCTTTCCAGTTAGGCCTCGTGTCCCTCCCCCACTCAGGTGTTATAAGTGTCAAAGATGTGGACACATTGCAGCTGTGTGTAAGGGACGGCAAAGGTGTCCAAGATGTGGGGGTGATCATAGATATGAGGAGTGATCACAGATATGAGGAGTGATCATAGATATGAGGAGTGATCACAGATATGAGGAGTGATCACAGATATGAGGAGTGATCACAGATATGAGGAGTGATCACAGATATGAGGAGTGATCACAGATATGAGGAGTGATCACAGATATGAAGAGTGATCATAGATATGAGGAGGGATCACAGATATGAGGAGTGATCACAGATATGAGGAGTGATCACAGATACGAGGAGTGCTCACAGATATGAGGAGTGCTCACAGATATGAGGAGTGATCACAGATATGAAGAGTGATCATAGATATGAGGAGTGATCACAGATATGAGGAGTGATCACAGATATGAGGAGTGATCACAGATATGAGGAGTGCTCACAGATATGAGGAGTGCTCACAGATATGAGGAGTGATCATAGATATGACGAGTGATCACAGATATGAGGAGTGATCATATATATGAGGAGTGATCACAGATATGAGGAGTGATCACAGATATGAGGA